TTACCCATCTTGTATGTCATCTATGTCTCCTTTATCGAGAATCCAATTAGCATTTAATAAGACCCATCTTGACATTTTTCTTTGTTCAAACCAGTTTATGTTTTATATGCGAAAGTGGATGTACTTGAATTACCTATTGTAAGGCGGGTTCTGTATAGTCTTTCAGTTTCTGCTATCTGTTTATATTTTTATTGTGACAAGTATTTTAATGTTTGATATAGTGCTGTATTTTAATTTTCTTTGTGTGCACCACATCATAGACCGTAAAGTTGTTTGTGGGCACGTAAAATAAAGATGTATTATTATTATTATTATTAAAGATCGCGTAGATGGTCATTGTTAGAAACTCGTTGTCAGAAGTTACTACTCGTCACATGCTTAGTGGTTCAGAAGTTCAAAGCTATGTCTTTTTGACCTAAATAATTATGCCATTGGTAAGAAATAATAAATAAATAAACATAACAATAAATGCAAAAAAAAAAGCTGGAGAAACGAAAAACTATCAAGAATCCGCCGGAAGTGTGGTATTCTTGCATATTCAGAGGCCCAGAACTACGAAACAAATTTCTCCTACCAAAATGTGTACAGGCTAAAAAAAAACACGTTCCAATCAAGTAAAATGAAAAACAAATGTTTTTTTTTATGACGTGCCGAATTTGAACAATTTTAGAAATCTTTTTCCCTGGGTTAATTTATTCCTCAACGTGAAAAGAACAATATATACATTAATTTGTATTCTGCAGATAGTAATGATATGTACTCTCTGTAGTGTTAATTTAAATGCGATACCTCAAGCAGTTTCGACCAAAAAAATTACCAAGTTTTGGGCAAAATTGTTCGAAGATACATATTTCGATATTTCTTCGAAACTCGTCTTGAACAACAATAATCATATTTTAATACGACAGTTACCTAGGCTATACATTAATCATTTAAAAAAAATTAACATCTCTGTCATAAATATCTTCGGCTATAGCGCACTTCAAATATGGCACAAGCGACAATTGTCAAAAACCCGTCGTCCTTCCTAGCTCCTTCAGGAATCCACTTTTTTAAAACCAAGCATGCCAGATGATCAAAATAACCGGCATTGTCTTTCGCAAAGAAAGCGGCACCACATGTAAAAAATGCGAGAAAAAAAATTACGATTGTACCTTACTGCTTAAATCCAAATAAAACCGCTCGCCCGTCTTTCGAAGTTCGATGAACTTCGAACTTTTACCCTAAAAAATCGAGGGTCGTCGACCTTTTGACTTTTCAGCAATCGGAAGTTCGACAATTTTCGAATTCTTTAGATTAATATGTTCAAAAGTTCGAATATTATCGAATTTCTTAGCGTAAGAAGTTTGAAAGTTCGAAAAGCTTCGAACTTTTGATGCAAGAAAATCGAAAGTTCGAATATCATCGAGCATTTTAGCCTATCGAGTTCGAAATTTTGACAATCATCGAATTTTGCAGCGTAATAAGTTCGAAATTTCGAAAAGCGTCGAACTTCTTAGTTTAACAAGTACGAAAATTCGACTTCCGTCGAATTTCTCGATGAATTTCTCGATATGGAAAGCTCGAAAATCGAAATCTTTCGAACCTTTCGAAACGCTTGAATCGATCATCGAAACTTCGATTTGAAAAAAGTCCGCGGCATCCCTACTACGTATGGCGTCTTGAACCTTGCTTTACATTTTTTGTCCGCGGTGAGGCGGTTGTCCCCGCAGAGGCTGCACTTGGGGTTACTGCAGACGTGACTTTCTTTAGGATTCTTCATGCCGGAACCACGGCATATCCTGTCTTCGGGGTTAGGGCAAACGTCCATCCGATGATCGAGGCGACCACACCGGTATCACATGTCGATCTGCTTGCGATACAGCGAAGACTTGGTCAGCAGGTTGCCGTATCTGATGTAGTTTGAGACCTTGTTGACGTCGAATGGGATGACCACCGTCGTCGTCTTGCCGATACGGTTGGCTTGCATAGCAGTGGGATTATAGTCTTGAACGATGTAGTCGTTGATTTCTGGAATAATGTCCGTCATCGGAACACCCCTGATGACACCCTTAACTGTGCCATGGGGAGCGGTCTCGTAGGCGCCGACTTCGTGTGCCATGCCGTTGATAGTGAGGCTTCTGACTGCCCAGTAGCGGTCTGCGTCCTCTCGTTTATGCGTACTAACAACGACTATGTTTTGCTGTTTGCTCAGGCAGATGACGTCTTGCGTTACCTTCTCGCCACTCCCGTTCGCAGCTGCTACGATGGCTCGGCTAATCTCGAATCTAGAAACTTCTCCAATGTTCAGGCCTCCCCTACGACGCATGACGATCTTGATATCGTGCTTCGGCAACACAGCTTGCTTTTGAAACTTTTCCGCTGCAGGCGACGATGCCCGGCAGCCGCCGGTCCCGCGTTGGCCGACGTTAGTTGCCCCTGGGTCTTCTTCTCCCCGGGGACGCGCCAGCCAAACTTCTTGGAAACTTCCTCCGGCATCATTTCTTCACCCTCCACCTCAACACGCATAGCGGTTGCCATTTTCTTGAAAACCCGCGATGCATCGAGCTCGCCGCTTATTCCTTGAGCCCCCTCGGCAGAGCTGCGGTCGTCTACTTCCTCGTCAAAGTCTATCAGCTGGAACCGGTTCTGCTTGGGGATGTTGGCCACGAACCGTGTCCCCTTCGGGAAGGGCGTGGCCAGCTGCCCCATGCCGATGTCGGAGAGGGGGTCTTCCCCATTTGTTTCCGTTGTGGCTCCGTCAGCGGTGGTCTGCGAGCCGGCCTCTTCGGGAGGGCTCTTGGGCCGCGGAGGGAGGGGGTCACCGCCGCCATTTTCCTCGGCCGCGGTGTCGATGCCGGAAGTGGCGCTTGTCGCCCAGGGGATGGGAGGGGCCGTGCGTGCGTTGGTGCTGCTCACCCGTGCCTCTCCCACCTCCCCCCGACGCTGCTGTTCCCCGCTGGGGTCTGCCGGGTTCCCGGTGCCTAGCCAGCCTAGGGAGCCTTCATGTGAAGCGCACATGAAGGCACCCTACCGGTGCCGAGACCCCTCTTGTGCTCCCTCCCCGTCCTGTCCGCAAGCATCCTCAGGTCCATGGCGGCCATGCGCGCCATTAGGTCCATCGATAGCCTCGTTTACATGAAAGCGACTTCAACGCATTGACTCCACTCGTTCTTCGAACGAAGCCGACGCGGCAACGTTTACTTGAATGCGCACCAAGCCCTACACGAAGGTGGCGCCACGCCGTGTCAAAGCTCGAAGTTATGCCCATCCGGAACCAGCCGCACCATGTTTTCCGGTGCATCGCACGTGGAGGCCTTCCGATGCCCTCAGTGAACGTTAAGATCGTGTTCGCTATCTTCGGTGCTGCGGAAGAAGTTACGAGACGGAAGAAATATCAAAACCCAAGCGTGGGGGACTCCAGGCCGGGCCGCCGGGTCACTCTGAACCAGAGGCGACGTATGTATACGCTTTGGCGAAGCCTCCGCGCTTCGCCGCGCCAGACCTCGCCGATAGCGACCGGACCAACCGGACCCCGAGCCCGAAAGGCTCCTGCGCAGCCAAAAACGGCACCGAGGTAGGAGCTGCTCGTTCTGCGCTACCATGCAGTGCTCTACAGTGCTCGGAGCTCTCGGTGTCGTTCGTGCTTGCGCTGAAGCCTCTGGGACACCTTCGGACGCGCAAGTCGTACTTCGCAAGGCTTGGACGGGGGCCGGCCTCACCGAGCAGCTCCGCTATATTCCGCTTACTTGTGATGGCAATAAAATCTCGCGTTTGTTCTCGGGAAAAAAATTGCAAGCGACCATACGGGACCGCTTTGCGCGCCGCCGACGAAGTTGGCCTCCATGTTCTCAGCTATTTACTCGCTCCCGCAGCGAACGCCTTCCCATACTCCTCCCCGTTCCAAAATGCGGTGCGACCTCCGTTTACATGGGCTGAATGAATGCGCACTCGCCATCTCGATCCACCTCTGCCTTGCGGCTTGAATGCGACGCGCTTTCTTTGCGCATTATGCCGTTTACACGACCGCATTGAATGCGACAACTGGATTCGATGCGACTAAGTCACATTCAAATAAATGCGGCTGATGGGGAAGTCGGGCTGGTGGCGCGGCAGGTGCGAAGTTGTTGCTGCCGCTGCCGCGCGTCCCTCCTCCGCTGCCTGGTGTTGCCCGCCACCGACGAGGCAATGTACGACGGGAGCCCCTCTCCGGAGGCGCGTACCTTGGTCTCGGACATTTTCCTGCTCCCTGCTCGATGCTTCTGTTGAATTTTCTATGCCGCAGACTCAGAAACTAGAGAAGCCGGGAGTTGAAACTTCAAATGCATTTATCTCAGTCCCACTGTTTAGCAGGAAATATGGTAGGATGAAATTATCATTTCACGTTCTGATAGCATAAAAACTAAATGCCGGAATGTCTTGAACTGAAATTTCATAAAAAAACAAAAACAAATTAAAATATTCAGTCTAAAAAAACACAAGACACTCGCTCTTTTATGATAAAACTTTTGTGAATTTTTTTAAATTTCTGGGTGTTTCTTTGTTTTCTTGTTCTGTTCTAGAATTGCCTTTTCTAAAATCTGTAGCTTAAAGGCCCGTTCACACTCTTCCGACCGAGTACGACCGAGAGAGACCAGACCGGTTTTTAAGCCTCTTGCGATCTCTTAGGACCAGCTCCGCTGCATCGCATCCGGTCCTAAGAAGTCGCAAAAGGCTTAAAAACCGGTCTCGTCTCTCTCTGTCTTACTCGGTCGCAAGAGTGTGAACGGCGCTTAACTTGCACTAACTTATACAATTTTTTTTAACCTTTCCGAATGCAGTCACGTCTTTTCTATAACTTGAGAAGCGTAGAATGCTGTATAATTGGTAAGGCTGAAAGTTCTGAACATATAATTCCCAATAGGGCCTAATTCGTCCTAAAAATTTGAATAAATTTGAATGAAGGGTTGAAAGGTTAACCCTGTCAGGCTATAACCCACCCCCCCCCTCTTTTTCAAAGCATGGTTTGAGTATATACATACCTTTGAAGTTTGCCCTTATGACGTTTTCAAGCGGGTAGTCAGTTTGATTCAGAGCTCTCACTTGTAGTGTGAAATTCTCGCTGAAATGAAAATAATTTACGAGCGAGTTAATTGTAGAACCTGTGCGCCGAGAAACTAAGTGAGAGAGGGAGATGAGAGCGTGCGGGGACGACAGAACGCCTATCTCTGATTGGAAGGATTAGTGGGTAGACCTAAAGCAAGCTGCCTTTGTCTAACGTTGTGGACTGCCGAAGCTGCCTTTTTCGGACGCTCTTTCAAGGGTACTTTTTAACGAACACCTGCATCTTTCATACAGGGAACTTTTCTGGAATGCTGGAGTAAAGGGGAAGGGAATGTAGTAGAAGTTTGGGTAAAGTCGGGAGGAATTAACAAACGGAAATTCAAAAATGTGGACATCGTCTGTATTTACAATGTTCAGGATCTGGAGAGAAAGAAATGTGTGACAGCGGCAGTGACTTTCAATACGTGAAAGGACTTCGATAAGTGGAAGCGTTTGCTCGTTGCACCCTACCACTCAATTTTTGTTCTGTACGTTAACTTTAGAAGTTTGAGAAAGTACTGGGAGTGTCTTAAAGTGATGGTTATTGAAGTAATGTCTCGCATTAACGCTCTTGTTTTAACGGAATTCAACGAACCCGAAGCTTTGTGGGATCATTACCCCTTATTGGGCTACGATTCCTTTTAGTTTTCTCCCGAGCATTCAGTTGGAGGGACGATGCTACTGCATGCGAAAAGTGAATAACTATGTCTCAAGTCAGGAAGTAACTTTCTGTTACACAGAACGTATTTTCTTAGAAATTGAGACCTCCTTCCACTCTTTTAGTATTTTCGTGCGCTATAGACCACCTTCCAAAAGATGCGGGCAATGTCTTAATGAGCTCACAGCGACAAGTTGCACGAGCTGCACTCTAGTATTATTCGGCATTGTACGAGATATGAACATAGATTTGATGAAAGATTAAACATCCGATGTTTGCGACTACCCTTACGCTTGCTGGCGTAGGTTTTGAGAGCATTTTCAGTGCACCAAGCATACAAGAGGTGGTGGGCGGTAGACTGGTGCCCTCGAGTATTTACTATATTTTTGTCAGGACGTTAGAAGCAGCACTGAAATCGGCAGTAATTCAGCAAAAAATGGCTGACCATGTTTTTGTTGGGTGTCAAGGGGTATGGCAGTCTGCCTCGGCAGCGGCTGCGAAAAGTGATCCACAAATCGTTCAAATCTTAGATAAAAAGATTTTGGACAGATTGGCTTCGTCATGCGTTTGGAGCCCTTTTCTCCAAGGGTCATCGCATTCTGGTGTTAACTCAACATTTGTTCAAGTCCACGACTCTTTCAAGGCAAAGGCACAGCGCAACGTTTAGTGAAAAAACGAAGGCCAGATCGGATTTAGTTTAATACTCATATTTTTAGCTTCCATCGCTGATAAAGGCTTTTGGTGCGTTGTACGCGAGCTCCTCGAGATGTCCAATTGCACGCGGAATTTCATACATCGAGGAACGAGGTCACTGCCCACGTACACCTGCCAGCGATATGAAGGTGAACACCTTACCTGATTTCTTGCCTGTTTTTGCGGCTCCCTAAAGCTATGTTAACTCTCAACATCTTAAATGGTACGTGGCTTGGGGTCTAAACTTAGCGTTCTAGCCCACTTCTGGAACAGAGCTTGTTCTAAAACCTACGGGAGCGTCAAACACAAGAAGAGGGCTGTTCACCTTCATATCGTTCACGGGTGTACGTTTCGCTTAGCTACTTTACTTAAAAAAATATTCTCAGAAAATCGTTATAATATTTTACCAACTTGGTCCCTTGTGAAAGGTCTTAGAGGTCACTACAGTTCGCCCTCAATTGGTTACATCATATTTAAAAAAAATAGATTCGGCAATAGTAAGGAGGCCGCGGAAAAGCTTAACACTTTCTTCGCCACTTCAGAGAAATCACCCAGTGGCTGTGTTTAGAAAGTATCAATGAAAGATTCAAATTGCCCGTCTGCTTTTCTCCATTATATGGAAGAAAATCTCGTCAGTCGGCTCTGTTGAGTATGAAGTGGACTAGATGACCTGGAGCCGATGGAATCACCGTTGGTTTTCTCCAAATGAACTTTTCGTCTTTAAAACAGGTGCTTCTCTTTATGACTAACGGTTCCATAAAGACAATCAATATTAAGAAAGAGATCGGAGTGGCTATGGCTTGACCCACTTTTAACGGCGGAAACCAAATGTGATAAAGAATTACCGCTCCATATCAATATTGCCTCTCTTCGTAAACCTGTTAGAAAAGCACCTAATTCTTGTGATGAGCAGTTTTTTGGGCAGCCACCTGATGATATCCAAATCGCAATACGGTTGTGTACATGAGAAGGCCTCGCAACTTCTCTTAGAGGACAATACCGATTATTTGAAGGCAGCGGTTCAAAATACTGTTTTTTGTGTGTGTGTGTGTGTGTGCATACCGTTAACCATTCAAAGTTGCTGCGTAAATTGTTTATCTTCGGCTCCGGGACCTTTTTTTTAAACTTTATTGGGCGTTTTCAGAAAAAATTGAACAAACATGTCTGGTGACCGCTTTTTATTTTGTTGAAAAAAAAAATTTTGCTGGCTTCATGCCGAGAAGAATAAAACCAATCGTTGTTTTCAGAAAAAAAAAATTTGTTTTTGCGAAGAAGAAAAATTTTGTAAGCACACTCTCAGTCTCGTGCGCGTTTTGCGTGTCGCCCGATGTTGGCATTGCGGGCGTCTTTTCCCAAAAAACTGTTCTGGCTACGGGTCTAGAAATATTCACTGACAAATCAGGCATAAGAAGGATTGACAAACAATGTTAATCACCGAGTATTAGGGTAGCTATTTTGAGAAAAAAACAAATTGCGCAATAATGCTCTGGATTAAAAAATATTTTTTTCCTTATTTATAAAAGCTAAGGTCCCAAACCTTTGCCAGCGTGTTGCTCTGTATATAGTTCATCTTTGCGTGAAATATTGTTTTCCCGGTTAGCGGGAGGAATTTACAAGAATAGCTCACACAGGGGCATTTAGTTAAAAATGCATTATTTTGAAAATCATTTAAAAAAGGCCATATTTAATATTATTTGAACTCTGAAGTTGACGTCTATAATATGTATTAACAGAGTCTGCAAAAACATAATGCTATATTTGTGTGGCATTTAAGTTATAAAGCGAGAAACATGGCCAAATTGACGCTAACGCGGTAGCCATCAGTGCAGTTACCCATTCATCACAATTTCATTGTTATTAAATGCTTAAAATTGCTACGGGGTGGTCAGGAAAAGACAAATTGACAGCACAGAGGTGACCGGCAGTTTGTAGGGAAAATGTCGTTTATATTTTCGTACAACCCACCCATAAATGCCCATGGACCGGAGCGATCGAGGTGCGCAACCCTGTAACATGCTTCGCGGTGCCTGTTTCAACAGCCGGCCTATAGCGTCTCCGTCTACGCGGCGTAAAAGAACCAACAAAAGCGACTTTGCAAACAGGTCAGGATACAACCCTGGTGATAACAAGATATAGGAGGTAGGGCGCGGCAGAACCTGAACCTGACACGCCTGTGAGCGCCAATAGATGCGGCGCCGCGGAGGGAAGCACAAATACTACAAGTTGTTTTTACTGCTATCAACTGGTTTCTTGACAGCTGTATCAAAGTTAAGGCCTCAAAAACTAGACACTTTTTACTGTTGTGTCGTTTACCCGCAGTCTCGGGTTTTTTTGCAATCATGTGCAATGTACACCAGCTCGTTTGCGCTCTCACTTTTTGTTTAAAAAGTAGTTTAGTATGCTTTAGAAATTCTTTGAAACAAACTGTGACGAACATTCCTGTGTTAATTCATACCTCTGAGTGTGCTTCTTGTTCCTGTACGGCGGTTTCTTATGTCGATTCAGTGAAGCGACCGTGCCTTGGAAAACCTACCTTTCCTATATTTGTAGCAAACTCAGAAGTGCTACCTGGCTTTTGTACACCAGTAGACGTCCTGCGCCGATCTGTGTGTGCAGAGCTATTGCTAGCTATTGTCTTGCTATGACGTTTTAAGCTATGGAATTACTACCGTATTTACTCGAGTGATAGACGCACTGTTTATGAAGAAAACCTGAGGGTGCGCTTTTCCGCGGAGCACGCAGATTGCCAATCACAGCGATCGACAGCAAGATTCCAGGTGTCTACATGACAGAGATAACGTCTTCGTGCGAAGGTACCATCTGTGAAGGTTGCATTTGTATACATAATTGTGTTCTATTTTTTTATGCTAAATGCGATTGCAATAATATTTAAAAAAGAAGCGAGCTGGTGATGATGTAAAAACTTCCTCCAAGAGCCTCTGGTTTCACAAGCGATTTAATCTGAGCAGCTCGTCATAGCGGTTGCACGATCAGTCCAGAGAAAAAAAAAATTGTGCGTGCCCGGGCCTTTGATGGCACGAGATCCTCCTTTTCCTCGCAGGTCTTTTCTTCCAGTCGCGAGATGCTGTTATGTTTAACAGATGATTCATGGCAATAAAACCCGAGACTCAGGAACACAGAAAGGGGGGGGGGGGGGGGGGGGGACGAACACAACAGAACGTCTCAAACACCGCTGAACATTTATTTTTCAGACACTCGTCTAAAAAGGCGAGCCCCCCCCCCCCCCCCCCCCCCCCCCCCCGGTGCCCCCACCCGACATCCACAGTCCCGAAGGTCAAGCCCCTTCCTCCCGTCCAGTCCACGTCAGCAGCCCTTCTCGCACATACAGCTATCCACATGCCTTCGGCGCCACAGAGTCGATGAGAACGTCCACGCTGTTGACTTATCACCCTCCACTGTCACCACTGCTAATCCCCCACTCCCTCGCAACGCTTCCTTGACTCCCACCGACGGATCGTACACAATCACACCACACAGATCTACCCCCTTCCCGCCCCCCCCCCCCCCTTTACAGTTGCCGGCGTAAACTCAAACCTCGAAAACACATGGGGAGGCCCACCCAGTGAGCTCAAATGCGCCGCAAAGTAATCTCAAAGCCTTACAGTTTGTGCCGCTAACCGTCCGTCCCCCCTTTTTTTTGTACTTCCTAATGTTTAATTACTGATACCAAAACGCTCGTTTTGTACTTACTTATCCCCGACCTTCCAAACCCCCCCCCCTCCCTTTACTTCCGTCTCCTTCCAATGCCTTAAAAAAAACAAAAAAAAAAATCACGAAAGGTTAATTTTCACTAAACCTTTTGGCTGGAACTCACCCGTCATGGAGGCGAAACTCCGTTTCTGATACAGGACCCAGGTTAGGTTGTCTAACAAAACGGAAGGTTTGCTTATGCAGTTCCCAACACTCCCTATTCTAATCGTCTCCCTCAATATTCTTTAGTCGCACCTTTTTCACTGTAGATAATTTCTGTTCTGACCCATTCCGGGCTGCACCCATTGCACTCTTCAACATGTCTGGCTATTTCTGAATTTTGAGCCCTCATTTTTACTGCCCTTTTGTGCTCTAATAACCGGTCGTTTACACATCTTCCTGTTCGGCCCACGTAAGTAAAACCACATGTTAATGGTATACCATAAACTACCCCGTCCCGACACTCGACTTCTCTATTTCTGTGTTTTTTCGGCGCCCGCTCACCCCTCCCGTGAATGGGGTTAGTCTGCTGAGTTTAAAGTCCGGTCTGAAAACCACAGTTACGTTGAATTTCTTAGCAAGAGCCTTCAAATTATGGGAAACCGAATGGTAAAAGGGAATGCAAACTACATTGTTCATTTTTTCTTTTACTCTGACCGTACCCGCCAAACGCTGCAAAGCCCTCGCGGCTACACTCTCCACAAGCTCCCTTTTGTATCCTGCCGCTAACAATCTAGACACTTGCGCCTGCACAGCCTCCGCAACCTTATGCGCACAAGGTTTACTGAGCGCACTATTCAACAGTGAAGCGGCAACACCTCTCTTGACCGTCTTGGCATGACAACTCATGTAGGGCAATAATGGCCTGGGTTCATCCCTGCCGTACCTCCAGCACAAACACTTCGTCAAACTTATCTTAACATCCAGAAACTGTAGTGATCTATTTTTTGGAAATTCTGTTACAAAGGCCAGCTCAGGCGCCGCGTTTCGGATGAAATTCACAAGTATCGCCAGGTCACTGCCTCTCGTCGTACAAACCAAAATGTCATCGACATAGCGTTTCACTACGGCGGTCCCAGCCGACATCGACGTCAACACCGCTTCGACTTTCAGATCTAAAACCCTTAAATAAACTGCAGAAAGAATGGGCGCCAATTGTGAACCAATGCACACACCTTTTTTCTGGACAAATTCCCTTCCTTCAAAACCCACAGCAGTGACCGACAATACCTCTCCAATAACACCAAGAAGCCACTAATGCTTATGCCGTAACTTGACTGAAATTTCACTAAACCTAACTTGAGCCAATCCCTCACACTTTGCAAAAACACACCCTGGTCCAATGAATAGTACAAATATTTTATATCCAAAGACCCCACTCTGCAATCTTTCCGGCGAAACATCTCCAAGAGCTCCAACAACTCTTCCTAATTCCTGATCGAAAGAGGGTTTTGCAACGGCAAGACCGAGAGCCCTTTCAACAAAAATTCCGAAAGTACCTTTTGCCGCGTCCCACCCTCTTTGATGACAATCCTCAGAGGCATTCCAACGTTATGGTTCTTCAGAAAAAACTTTACCGACAGCGTGCCTTTTGTTGCGTCCCTTATCCATTTAGCAGACCCCTCAAAATCCCATTCGTTCAGAACCTCAATGACACTCTGTTTCGTTTTCCTCAAATTTACCATGCACGGCTGCAACAAGCCGTCTAGAGCCACGTCTACCTTTCTTTTATAGTCCCTCAGGGGCAAAACACCAAATGTCCCACTTTTGTCAGTTTGCAATAACGCTAAATTATTCCGTTCCAATTCTCTCCTGACACCCTGAACCTCACGAAAGTCTCTTTTGTCATAGTCTACCCTGCTATCCGTGAACTTCGAGACGACTCTAAATGACTGTTCCTGGTAACTGGATCTCGCGACCGAGTCCGGGATCCTTCTTCCTACAGTCTGCACAGCCGCGAGAACGTCCAACCTTGAGGGCTTGACATTCAGGCAGAACTTCGGGCCATCCCCCAAAAAATTCTCAGTTCGCAGTGACACCGTCACCCGCGAAGGATTCACCACCTTTGGGCACACTTGGTTATTCTCTCGTGATTTAGGAACCGGGACCGAATTATTGTTCGACGAAGTCACCTCCTCAAATTTTTGAAGCCCGCTCAAAAGCGCTCTCCTTTGACGCGCCCACAATATGTGGAACGCCCCTTCTTTCAGTTTTAGCCAAAACCGGTACTCCACAGAAGACTGGAACCCATGCCCGCGATATAAATCGAAATGAGGGCTCAAAATTCAGAAATAACCAGACATGTTGAAGAGTGCAATGGGAGCAACCCGTAGTGAGCTAGAACAGAAATGATCTACAGTGAAAAAGATGCGACTAAAAGAATATTGAGGGAGACCATTAGAATAGGGAGTATTGGGAACTGCATAAGCAATCCTTCCGTTTCGTTAGACAACCTAACCTGGTCCTATATCAGAAACGGAGTTTCGCCTCCATGACGGGTGAGTTCCAGCCAAAAGGCTAAATAAAAATTAACCTTTTTATCTTTTTTTTAAGGCATTGGAAGGAGACGGAAATAAAGGGAAAGGGGGGGGGTTGGGAAGGTCGGGGATAAGTAAGTACAAAACGAGCGTGTTGGTAACAGTAATTAAACATGAGGAAGTACAAAAAAAAAAGGGGGGGACAGACGGTTAGCGGCACAAACTGTAAGGTTTTGAGATTACTTTGCGGCGCATTTGAGCTCACTGGGTGGGCCTCCCCATGTGTTTTCGAGGTTTGTGTTTACGCCGGCAACTGTAAAGGAAGGGGGGGGGGGGGGGACGAGAAGGGGGTATATCTGTGTGGTGCGCTTGTGTACAATTCGTCGGCGTGGGGCAAGGAAGCGTTGCGAGGGAGTGGGGGATTAGCAGTGGTGACAGTGGAGGGTGATAAGTTAACTGCGTGGACGTTCTCATCGACTCTGTGGCGACTAGGGCATGTGGATAGCTGTGTGTGCGAGAAGGGCTGCTGACGTAGACTGGACGGGAGGAAGCGGCTTGACCTTCGGGACTGTGGATGTCGGGGGGGGGGGGGGGGGGGGGCACCGGCGGGGCTCGCCTTTTTAAACGAGTGTCTGAAAAATAAACGTTCAGCTGTGTTTGAGACGTTGTGTTGTGTTCGTCCCCTTCTGTGTTCCTGAGTCTCGGGTTTTATTACCATAAATGCAATTATTGGCGGCATATATGTTCTCTGGGAGAGCAGTCGCAAGGGTCTTGTTCATAAACACTTGAAGTTTCTGCGTCTACTTTCCCGCACAACCCTCGGAGAGCCAATCACGGCAACTTACGGAGGCAGCTCAGCGAATGACAATGCCGAAACACATGTTTAGACCAAAAAACACAGCCTGAGTTGTGACATTAAGCAATGCAAAACGTCACGCTTGCACTGCTCAATGTAACAACTCAGACTGCGTTTCTTCGTCTAAACATATGCTTCGGCATTGTCATTCGCTGAGCTGCCTCCGTAAGTTGCGGTGATTGGCTCTCCGAGGGTTGTGCGGGAAAGTAGACCCACAAACTCTTTTAAGAGTGTATTGTGCGGCTATTAGTCGAGCGAATACGCTATTTTTTCTAATTGCCCCATAAGATGGAAAGTACAGATCGATAATATTCTGCGGAACTTACTGAAGAGCGTGGCGTAAAACTGTGATTTGACAGAATGCGGAAATATTTTTTAGTATCTTGGGTTACCTTCCTTCCAGAAGTTGTTCGTGGATTCAGTAATTTTGCGCCACTTTTGGATGGATGATTTAAAAGAAAAAAAAATCATGTCCTCCCGAGTTCAAACAGATTGTCCTCGCTATTTTGTGCCTCGTTCTTATACTCGCTACTGTCAAGCTACTCGTGATATTTGTGTCCCGAAAATCTTTAATTCACTTGCTGGTGACGTTTTTACGCTTACCTCGAAAAAGCAAATAAAAGAATTCCTGATTAATTCGATTCTACATTAACTATTCGTTCATGTTTTCTTACCTTTATCTTGAGAATCTTGTCGGAACCTTTTTATCTTATGTGTCTCAATATCTCTATAATGTTTCATCCGGCCCACCGTGATTGACTATCTCTGTCCGTGGCATGTATATATCTCTATGTATACTCTTTATGTATCTCTACATGTACCTGTACATATATCTATAATGGTTCTACCAGTCCACTGGGAATGACTATCTCTGTGCGTGCCATGTACAAAGTGACTGACTGCCAACAGCTTCCCCCCTCCCTCCCCCCCCCCCCCTCGGACAAAGATGATTGTTTAGCACCGTTAGTTTCTTAACTAAGTATGTATATAATGAGTTACTGCCTCTTCCGGGCCATGTCCCACAAGCCGACTTTGACTTTGACTGGCCCGAAAATATCGAAAACAAACATGAAAGCAGGATACATATTATTAATATTATTATTATTATTATTAATATTTAGCTGATGAATGAAGTACTTACTATTTCTTTTTTCCCGTATCGTAACTGATTATTGTGTAATTTGCGGTTTTTTTCGTTTTGTCTGTGATATTTGCTGTTGTGGAGATACATTTCTCATAAACGGGAAAGTTGGTGCGAAACAACAAAAAATACGCATTATTTGACATTTCTTCTAGGACCTGCAATCAACAAAACGAAACATTTCTTCATATTTTCGCCCAATATTAGCAAAAGACGCATGGCAGGGCCAACTAAATAGGGCACTTATACCCGTGCCGCACGGGCAACTCGAATGCCATCTACAACGAATGACATTCGTGTGATCGACGAATGGGCTCGCGATTTGTCGCGCGTGGAACGCCCCACGCTCGGGGTGTCGCGCGATGATTGGCCGATCCTTCAAATGTGATTCGTTCTTAATGGCATTCGAGTTGTCCCACGGGTATTACTCAGATTTAGGCATTCGTACCCTGTGTACCCTGTCGGCAGTAAAAATCAGGCATTGCCCTACTTTAAATCACAGCAAACTAATGATGTCCGTCTATATTGAATGCACACTCTTCAATGAACGCTCTTATACAAGGAACAAATGGAACGCTCGTATCACTAACATTGGTTTCAACACGACTGCAACATAAATGTGCTCGTGATATTAGATTACTTGCAAGAGCGTATTTCTGTAACCGTAAAGCATAATTATATGATTACAGAGAACACCTGCAAACGGCGCAGCGAATTTTAAACATCTGTAGTACGCACAGGTGTAGGTATGATATTTCTGTAGTGCTAAAGTGCATACTCAAAACATTAATTTGCGTATGGTCATCCCGTGCTTTTAGCAAACGATAGTTGATGAGTCTCTACGGCACCTTGGACTTATGTTTAATCATAGTGTAGTCATTTCTTTCTTCGTGTTTTGTAATAAAATAGTATGGTTTTTAAAATGATCGGGCGATAATGTGCCGTACTTCTCGGTCTACAGTCGCACCCGGTGTATAGTCCGCAGGGGTTAATTTGGGGTCAAGATAAAAGATTTTGCTTCGATAGTCCTGAACGGGTGCATAGTCCGCACTTATAGTATAGTCCTTTCGGTTCATTTCCGATTCAGTTTTGGGGAGCAAAGATAAAGGTTCGAACCTGTTCGAACCGGTTTGAACCGCTAAATTACGAATATATTTTTCGCGTTTTTTTTTTTTTTTTAAATAGACACTATTTTAATTGTGAAACGAGTAACCCTCTATTTTTTTTAAATTATTATTCGTACTATTCACTTCTATTTTCAATATCAAAAACAAGAAAATTGCAATGTTTAATCCCGACGAAACAGTAACTGAAAATCTCAATTAACATTTATTAATGTCGTGTTTATGTCATTCAATATTTGTTTACCCCAGTCGCATATATTTTACTTGAATCGAAAGGTCACCAGTCTGGTAGGTCGCCTAAAATACCCGTAATTTGTACAAAGTTACGTCGCAGTATCAAAAGTGGAATCCTACTTGTTCTCTTAACCTTAGGACTTAATTACGGTGCATAAAACCTCACCATATATATTATGAGATCTAGTTTACGAATATGTTTCGCAATATATATATTGAAAGCACAACTGAGCAAGAATAAGCCATAGTTTCAAAATACCACGAAAGTTTTAGGACAAGCCCTTTCTATCTACCTTTGATAGAGACGCTGAGCGGCAATCACGATGTTTGTTTTCCTGAGCAACATTGTTTACACTCAGCAGCGTGATGTAGGCTAATAATCATTCAGAAGAGAGTGATCAAAGTTGTTCACTCTAATCCATACGCACCTTCGTATACTCAGATCTAATCTGTCCTAAAATAGCGCCTACCCACGTGAACATTTTCGACATATCCTGGTGTTTGAGGTTTGTTTTTGACAAGACGCAGGTTAATACAATTTGCAAATAAGCATCACCTTCGCTAATTTGTCATTTATTGTTAAAAAGATTATAGCGGTATTTCATACACTTATGGACATTGCAACTACTTAATTAGTCACTTTCTGACGGTCTGCGTACGCTATCATTACAGTTTGCGTCAGGAACACATACGTCAGGAGCACATTTATGTGTCAGGAACAGATTTATGAGTCGGGAACACGGAGTTATTTAAATCATCTTCAAACTCAAAAGTTTGTTTAAGGCTCTCTCAAATCACTTATAGACGTGCATATCGAGGATAAAAACGCCGGAAAATACTTGCAGGGATTGTTTCAGACAATTTGGGGCGCATTTACTGATGATGTATATTTTTAAGGGCATTGGCATTTATTTATGCTGTCAAATCTTCTCTCAGTAAATATATTTGTATTATGATCAATAACTTTGACTGCATGAAGTTCACATAACAACTTAGGACCGACATGAGAGGACGATACTCGAAAATACGCCATCTGTTGAGTCTGCGGAAACGGGCTTTTTTTGTTCGCTGTTTGGCAGTGAGAAACACCGGGCCCCGGGGTATGCCAAAAAAAATCACGACATCCCCACGGGGTTAATGATGTTGATTCGGGCGAAACTCTGGTGGTGCTGATGGTACTGATTTTATTGTTCATGGCTAGTGCTGATGGTGCTGATCTTTTTTTATCGCTCATAGGTAGTGCTGAATTCCGGGTTGCGTTTCGACTTCATTATTACTGCTTTATGGTCGGTGAAGTGCAGAGCCAGTGGTTCTTCTAGCGGATCAGCTTGGATACGCTAGAAGAACCACTGGCTCTGCACCTCACCGACCATAAAGCAGTAATAATGAAGTCGAAATGCAACTCGGAACTCAGCCCTACCTATGAGCAATAAAAAAAGATCAGCACCATCAGCACTAGCTATGAACAATAAAATCAGTATCATCAGCACCACCAGAGCTTCGCCCCAATCAACATTATTTACCACGTGGAGATGCGGTCATTTTTATTGGAAAATAAAAACGAAAAAAAGGAAACAGCAAAAGCCACAAATATTGCAAAAATGAGACTAGTCAGCAATGACTCGGCTACCACACATGTCAATAAAATCCACAAAATCGCATCCACCGCTTAAAGCGCGAGACACATGGACGGCAGAATCGTCCGATCCGACAGTCCGAACACCGCTCCAAATCGCCGCACGCGACAGTTTGAGACACACGCTTTCGACATTGCATGTGACACGACGATTCGTTCGGCTCCGCCCAGGAGGTCCAAGCACTCCAGCGAAGGTCCGCGTTCACAGATCTCTGGTCCCAGATTGACGGTTTAGCTCACACGAGCAAAGTTAGGAGCTCGTTCTCGTTAGCGCGTGCATTATTTGCCGGGGCCATCTTTCTCGAATGGGTCAGCGGGGTCCACGCGTCCGGCTTCCCGTCGGCCGTCCCGTTTTCTTATTTGTCCCGCCAGACCCAGTACGTCATCATGACGTTCGCGATAGCTGTGCTGTCATTGGCTGGACGCATCCGACAATCCATCCACCGTGCGAAACTATCTAGCGCGTTGGACGCATGTCGGATCGCCGATCCGACGCCTGAAGCGACCATATTCTTTTGGATCAGGCAGTCGTACTGCCGGATCGGACGTCGTATTGGATGGATTTTTTGCGCATGTGTCTCGCACTTAAGTCAAACGGTCCATGTCAGAAAGAGAATGTGTGGTGTGGAACGTGGTTATATACGCATTTGAGCATTGACCGCAGCGCCCTCTCGTCTATAAACGTCGAGCCAATGCATGCAAAGTTTAACGCGATTATATACGAATTTGACCGCAGCGCCCTCTCCTGTATAGACGTTGAGCGGCTACTTGCAAAACGTTTCATCCATGACAGACGGATGGGATGGCAATCGACGTGAGCTCGGACGCCGGACGGACGGGCAAGGCTAGACCCTAAGGAGCTTTGCCCCTGAAAGAACTCTTTGCTCACTAATGTTGGTGCTCACAAAATAGATCTGAAGGCAAATAGAATAAATTTGGAGAAAAGTGAATAATAAATAGTATTCTAAAAAATTTCATACAACACGGCTTATTGCAAAAAGAAGTGCAAAGAGATGCATGAAATAATATTCCTAATCACACATAAAAAGCGCGAAGGGCAGACAATATATTTCTAACATAAATCACATTTGGACATCGGTTTGCACGAGCTTGTAACTTCGAAAATACTGCCCCGGCAAAGCTAATCTTTTATTCAGTTTTACGTGCACTTGTTTTGGGCCCTCACTTTACAACGGTGTATTTTATCAGTCAGCTGCCCAGTATCTTTTTATTAGGCTGCCTCATATCATTGCGAGACCACTATATATACTGCACAACTTTACAAATTGGACATTCACTTTTGCTACGGTTGAGAACATCGCATTTCACCAGAAAACAGAACTGTTTAATATGTGCCGTGTCGTCGTTATAGTCATTATAGCGTAAAAGACTAGGACAGAAAGGAACAATGCAACACGGCAGACCCATTGTTTCTTCCTGTCCTAGCCTTTTGCGATATTAATGTTTAACGAATAACCAAATTTCGTAACAAATAACCACCTGTTAGTTTTAATTATAATGACGTCATCCCACTACGGGCTGGTTGTCATTGCGATTTGCTCTCGCTGAGAGAATAAAATAGGGTAGTGCAAAATGCACGCTTCAGAAGGTTCGCGCGCAGTGCAAGATCATTTATTCGAGATATACAAATTATTCTTTCGTGATGTTGCGTCGTGAGGATCGACGAGAGCGTCTGGCAACACGAAAACGCGCTGTCGGACATTTCTTGCAGGAGTGGTTTTGCAAACAAAATATTTTTCGGAATAACGCTTTCTGCTCTGTACCGAAAATGGGGAGCGGAGAAAACTTTAGAAGAAAGTATGTTTTTAAGACTCCCTCCTAACATTTTTTTTTTTTAGAGCGCAGGTCATAGGCGCTTGTTTCCGGGTTAAGCCGCGCAGGCGTCGCTGTCGGCGTCGGCGTAAGCGCGCTAAATTTAGCGGGAAAATTCACGTCGCATGACCGTAACACCGATTCAATTCCCCGCTATTCAGTTTCTCCGCTAGATTTAGCGGGTAAACTCAGTTTCTCCCTAGATTTAACACCAATTCAATTTCCCGTTAAATTTAACGGGAAACTGATTTTGTGTTGATGGCACCTAACGCAAATTCTCCCGCTATATCTAGCGGAAAAACTGAATTTTTTCATAGGTGATGTGACACCAAGTCATGTGGTGTCATTTTCCCTTCAAATGTAGCGAGGAAACTGAATTGGAGGAGGAAAGGAGAGGAGGTAATGGAGAAGGAGGAGAATGAGAGGAAGCGGAGAGCAAGGGAGGGTACGGAGGAGGAGGACGGGCATTCCCTCCCCTCCGTACCCTCCCTTCCTCCTTCTTAAGACCTACGCTATAATGTCGCATTATAAAGATTTGTAATCCACTTTAATTTTTTTCTTCTTTTTTCGATGGCCCTTCAGGAAATACTTTTTATTCCTGAGGAACTCCCTCCTCTGCATTATATTTGTGTCGTTTGTTAACAGGGATCCTCCATTTCTTTTATTTTACTCCTCAAAACTATGAGGTATATATAAAATATGGAGGTGCTCAAAGCTTTGGGAAGAACTTGAGGACGAAACTCCCGTGAGACTTCGAGGGGCTGCCAACGTTTCACTAGAATCTTTTTTTTTTTTTCCAGGTATCTCTCCCGTACAGACTTGTAGTTCTAGACGGTGGTTTTAAAAGCGCAAAGGACTAAGAAGAGAAGGAGGGGACAGGACAGAGCGCTTACTTCAAACTGTCAAATTTAATAGAGCATCTAGAAAACAACAAGGTAGAAGCGAAAAATAAAACAAAATTAAAGTCACTGCTGCTACAAAGCACATATCTGGTTTTAGAAATCGTAACAAAAATATTTTAACTTCACCTAACGGCAAAGTACTTGTCACGTAAAAAAAACTGTCTGTACAACAAAACAAAAAAAAAGAAAAATTCAAAAGAAGACAAGAAGAAAAACATTACGCAGAGCAACCGGCTAAAAAGTCTTCTGGTAAAACACCGCTAGAACTGAAGTCTTTTGTGTTTCAAGTCTTTAGGGGAAACACCGAAGGAACTGAAGTTCTTTCTGTGTTAGGGTGACTGATGGCGCGCTTATAGACTTGTCGCCACTGGTGAGGATGACCCGTAGAGCTCTCTAATGTTTTTTGTCACGGAACCGCTTCAGAACTTTGGAGTTGTTGAATGTTGGTGAGCATTTGCAGTCTCTGACATGCACCGCAAGATGTCCCGATGGTGCTGAGTTCAACGGTTGGGCATGTTCTCTTAATCTCGTATTAATACATCGCCCCGACTGACCTACATACACTTTGCCGCAAGTAAATGGTATTTGATATACCACTCCACTTTGACATTCTACATACTTGAGTCGATGTTTTACACTGCACTCTTGCTGTTCATGCTGTGGGGAGTTGATCTTAGGGCAGAGCCTTTTCAGTTTGTCCGGAGCTGAAAGCACGACTTGGACTTAAAACTTCGCGGCTGTTCTCTTCAAGTTGTGGGACACGCGGTGTATATATGGCAGTACAGTCGGTCGGTGTTTCTTGTGTTTTTCAGTGTCGAGTTTTTTATTTGAGGTCATCAAGCATTTGGAGACTTCATATATTATCGAACTGGGATATCCCGACGCTTTCAGTCTTTGTACTTGAGCATCAAAGCTTTCCCCCGCTGAGTGTACGAAAGATTTTTTAAGAGCTGTATTCAGGAAATTTTTTGCAATTCCTCTTTTAATAATTTTGGAATGAGCCGAGTTATACTGTAAAAGACCTTTCTTCGATCGAGGGGATTACATCCAGCAAGCGTGGTTGTCAGAGAACACAAGTCTTAGATCTACAAATTGGAGTATGGAGTTCACTGGTGAATCTTGGGTGAACTTGAGACCCTGGCCATTTTCTAAAAAGATAGATCGGGTGATGTTGAATATTTGCGTCTCATTCTCACTTGGGCGATGTTGAAGGAGAACGAGGTCATTTATTTAATTACTCCAATTTCTAGATCTAAGACTGGTGTTTTCTGACAACACGCTCGCTGGATGTAATCCGCCTGTAAAATGGGTCCGGCAACATTTTTTGTACTTTCAGTGAATACCGATAAGACCCGATTCCTGAGGATGATAACTTGCAGAAACACCCATCAGTTCTCGTCTCCGCTCAATGGCAGACGCAGAAAAAAATAAAGGACAGAAACAGCTTTGCCCTCCTCAACTCGCAATTAGAACGAGCGGACAGGTCTTCATCAAAGGCATGCGCTGGGGTTGGCAAGGAATAAAGCATGGGTATAGCTTTAGACATTGTCAGAGTTCGGCTATTCTCACATCTGATTGGACACGGACCGTTACCCGAATGTTTGGCGATGCTAATTCTCAACAACCCGAGCAGTCGACTCGGGCTCATGAAAACCGAGTGCGTCAAGGGGTAATGTGACTCGATGTGAAAGGTCGTAATGCCATGTGACGTCACGGTATTAAATGCACTAATAAATCTAGTGACGTTCTTAATTTAAGTCGACTTTTGTCACGTGACTACGTCCCGAGGTCACGTGACGTGACATCACTTGACAGCATGCCTTGACACCATGACCTCATGTGACCACACGACACATGATTAATCATCGTGAGAATACAAAAGCGCCACGAAAACCCTCAAGTTCTCATACATTGCAATTCGGTATGCGACAATTTTAACCCTACATATGAATACAGCTCCCGATTTTTATTTCTGAAACATTCATTTTGTAATACAAACAAAAAAAAAAATAACGTAACCCGTTTGGAACCGGTTACTGTTATGTTGTTTCCTGTGCAGTGCCGGTTCAGTTTTAAGATGGCGGCGAAAAATTCGGTTCGGCCATCGTTACTAGAAAAACGCAGTTGGGAAACTGCCACAGAGCCTGCCCTGAAAAAGTGGAACCGATTAGTACTCAAGAACCGAGCTAATTGCGATCGTAACGCCGCCATTTCTTCCGCAGCGGCCACTCGGGCAACTGCACGGCCGCTTGAATTGGTTCAAGAGTATAGCATTCGATAGCGTCCACTTTTACTCATGTATTTTGGTTTTAATCGGCCATTTGGCGCCGAAACATATACGGTGGATGGGGCGTCAGGGATGCAACGCCAATCCTCCAAGCGGACCCGTCCCCAACTACTACCTAAGCTAGGACGCGCACAGATTGGGACGCGCTACCTGAAATCAGTGGTGAGACATGGTTGTATAAAAACAATAGATATTGTGCCACAAAACCTTGCAAACTAATTATATTAGAAAACATCATGTGCCTGTCATTCTGTACGAATCTCCAATAAATGCTCCCAGAAAAAGTACTTTTTCGGTTTGTTTTTACGCAAAAACATGCTTTCTGAAAGCTCAATTTAACCACAGTAATAAAAGAGTTGTACAGCCATTTTGGCACCTCGAGCCCGAGGGTTTCAGTACTCTGGGAATATTCAGTGACTCTATAGGTAGCCATAAAAGACACTTTCATGTCTCAATTCGTTTCTAAAAGGCGGTGCTGTTATCGCATTCAGCTGAATCTCTCTAAACGCCAGCGGTCGAGGTTTCGAGGGTGAGTTTCCACACTGAGTGTTTTAGTAACCTTGGGTTCGGTCAAAAATAACGGTTTGGTTCAGGTTTGGTTCCTACACCACGCGCTTCACGCGAATGGCTCGGCTCCAAACACTACCCGGTATTCTATCTAGTACATTGCAGTTCTATTGTAACCATGGAGGTAGGAAAAACAAGAGGCGATATAGCGACCCAAGCCAGCCCAACGAGAAAGTCGCAAGTAAAACCGGAAGTGGAAGACGCGGTCGGTGGAACGCCCCCCAGAATGACCAAAACCACACCAAAGGCGCTGCTGGTGCCAATTCATGTTTCCTTTCCGTCCAATAGCGCCTTTAAGTTTCGGTGATCATTGGGGGCGTGTCCCTCTAAACCGAAAAACTCTGGACCTCATGTCGCCTCCAGAACACCTGAATGTAACTTTAGCGCGCTTCCTAAGCGCTCCAAGTAATTCTGGTATTTACTCATCTCGTAGTTTTCGATAATACTCAGCAAGTTCCTGATAAAAATCATATCTTTATCTTCAATCAATAAAAATGTAATTGAGAAAATTTTAGTTAATTAACTGATTTATCGTGATGTTTATCGACTTGTATTATGTTTTTGGGACCATGTAACTCACCTGCACAGTCCGCATAAGTATAGCTTTCGTGTCTTTTTTAAAAGAAATCTCTAAAGCCTTAAGAATACAGCCTGTATTTCGCACCCCCCACCCCCTCCTATCTTAATCACATACCTGCCATGCATCTTGCAGAGACCCAAGATCTGGGTCGTTGAAGTAAGGGCTGTTTTCCGGGTTCTTGATGGTCATTTTCTCCGTCCAGGGAAAGCTCGGTGTCCATTCCTCGTACTGCGCCCAGGCCTGAACCACGGCGAAATATCCGAACAACAATGCGCACTGGAGCCCCATTACAACGTATTCTTTCTGCATTCACTCCTCTTTTGAGATCAACTGAACGCTGCCCAAGTGTTAAATAAGTTCCCATTTTTTTGTTGCTGTTGTTATTTCAAAATACAGCTGTACCGGATCATAGCTGACGTTTGTGACGAGACTGTCATATGGCAAAAGCATTGTTCAGAGAGGCTGCGTCAACATGTGAGACAAGTGTTCGTAATACACAACGGAGGAAAAAAAAAATGCGACAAGTACCTTCGGGAAGCAATTATGAATTTCAGTTGTTCCGATTCCCTCGTCGCTTTGGTTTCTGTGGTTGCAGCTCACACAAACGCCTGAAACAGCCTTGAAGCGACAGAAACAACAAAGTCACACTTCGCCGTGCTACGTCGCGAGAATGAACTCAAAATTAACCTGACGAGATTTATAAAAAAAGGAAAAGAAAACAGTAACTATGCCACAGATGGGCGTATTTCAATCAATACAATCACCCAGTTTTCATCGCTTCCTAGATTGCACTGGCTTGGGGTGATTATTATCAAAAACAAGGAAGGGAGATACAACGTGGTAAACTATGGGCACTGGCGTCCTAAACAACGCAGCGGGTGCCAGGACCCAATAGTTTTATTATTGCTTCGAAACCGATTAGATTTCGCCAATTTCTGATAACAACGCACAAGAAGGAATCACAAAGCGAGAAGAGCTAAGGTAATAAGTCACACGCACGATATTTTTTAAGCCATCGGTGACTACCATCAATCTAGCTTATAAACCAATTATTTCGTCAACGATAGAATAATAAAGCGTAATTTGGAGCTCTGCTACAAAGTCAATTACGCTACGAATTTGGACGAGGCTACAAAGAAATCCGTAAGGCCGGGATCACACTGCTCATTCATCACTCAAAAGACAGTATACAAACACGAGTCACCGGAATGTTCGTGGTTCGAATGCCGCGTGCCCAAGTTTCCTCCCTGAACTCGTTGCCACTCGGTATTTGAAGCAGGGATCTCGCAGTGGCTCGCGTTCGAATTTCGATGCAGACTGTTTTTTTCTATGATGCATAAACGGTGTGACCACGGCTTTACGTTTATATTTTGAACGTAAGAGGTTACATGCGCGACTTAGTTATCTAGCCCAGACAGCTGGTATCCTTTTTACTGAGGAAAAAGAAATTATTGTGCAGACTTAAATTCGTGCACGCATGAAGTTTCTCCAGGTATGTTCCCGTCATTTCGCTTCGAGAGTCAATCAGCGAAAGAAGGTGCACTAGCTGGCCTTCCAAAGCGAATATTTTTTAGGCCGTGTTTTAATTGAGCGCCATGACACACGAAGCAGAGGGGGGTTAGAGGTAACCCCCCGCCCCCCTTTGCTAGCCGCCATGTTGTACAGTTTTGACCACTAGGCACGCGACTGTACCAAATCCTGAGGCTTTTACGCAAAACTCACCCAAGGTTTGTATTGCGATCACTATAACAAACATAAGAAACTATTTCTCAATACTCATAACCGCAGATATCAGTGTCTAGCTCCGATAAAAACCCTAAAATACAGGACCGCGCCTGACGGCATCTATCGGAGCCATGGCGAAGCTGCCCGAGATTTTGCCGTAAAAGCACATTTCGGACTTAAAATAAACGAAACATAACTTATCTCGTCGGTACTGCTATTAAAGATCATTAAGCAATTATCTGCGCGCGGCACGTTGTAAAAATCGAACCGTGTCACGTGTCAAGTGGTAACAGTGTGCAACATGGCTGCGGCCGATGGGGGTCTGTTTCAGCTGCCTGTATATCGCGTTAAGCCCCCTAGTTGTTTATTATGACACTCCATCCCATTTCTCGCGGGTGCGTGCACGAGAAAAAAAAATTACAAGAATAGAAAAGGTGCAATGACTGCATATTTATTTTGTTGCCGTTTTTTACTACTCCCGGTCACTTTTTACCGCAAATCAACTGAAGCTAACAAACTCCTCTATTGAACCGCAGTGCATGCATGATGAAACGCTGAATGCCACTTTTATGGTCACGTCTTGGAGCGTTGCAGAAGTTTTTGGACAGGGGCAGAATAACAGATTGCGTGTCCGCGTTTTACTGACATTGCAGAAGACGATAGACGGTGGTGAAATAGCAGACGATGCCAGAGGCTGCCGCGTGTCTGCTCGCACGACTCGCAGCGTGATCAACCGAGCACACAAGCTAGCCAAGTAGCAATGGGCGGGGCCACTGATTTGTGGTAGGGGGTCAGAGCGTGCCGTAATCTCAACCTAAATTGGGTCGAACAACGTAAATATTGTGCGAATTATTTTTTTATTTCTTAGAAAATTTATTGAAAAAAAACATACGTGTCCTTTCTATGCGATTAAAAAAAACTTTTTTTGTTTTCATTTTAATATTTATTTACGTGTGACCGTACTAGAAGCCACAAGAGCAAACGTCGGGCTTTCAGCGTCTCTGCCCAGCACTCGCGCTCGTGCAGTGCAAGCGCTGTTCAGGGCCATACGCTCGAGCTTGTTTCATAGGCTGCGTCTTGATATAAGTATCCGCTGAAGACGAAAAACCTAGCCAGTGCGATACCTCTACTAAGTGAGTTTTTGAACATGCGTGGTGCAGTAGAGGTACACGACGGCACGCCGATAAACCGGCACGTGGAAGGATTGAACCGAGGACCACCGTGATCAATGTTCCCTTGCGCACGGCAGCAAAGATTGAAGGCTCCGCGGCTGGCACATGATAAAGCACTGCTGTTTGGAAGCTACCGTATAGGCCGGTTCACGCATACCTTAAAGGGGCGATGCAACAATTTTGTACTTTCCGCAAATTCCGCTTAAAACGGATCCCTGACATTAATGACCTACAAAACACCCGTTCGTTTTTCACCCCACGCAATAGAAGTCCCAGAAAAAAATTAAAGAAAAACGAGCAGGGTTTACCCTCTCAACTCGCAGCCAGAACAAGAGGCCACGTGATCTGGAGCTGATTATATGCCGCCAATGTTGATCACGGCCACGCGCTCGGGTTGACAAGGCACAGGACACGCGCTGAGTTCCAGACATTGCTGTGGTTCGGCTATTGTCGTCATTGCAGCGATTGGACACGGGCCACTACCCCAATTCTTCTCGAATTATCGATTATCACGAGCCCAAATCGAGTGTCCACGCACTGCCCGGGTCCAATCTATGAGCTTCGTTAAAGTATTGCCACTGGGTGGCACTGCGACCGCCCAGCTACGTCATCAATTTTTGGGAAGGAGATATTGAATGAGACCGCCCGCTTCTGTCCTCGAAAATACACGTAAACAAAGAAGTTTCTTGCCCAGCGGCGTTGCTTACGAGTATCCTTGTCTCCCACTAGTGCCAGTAAGCTCGTGTAAAGTGAAAACATTCCAATTAAATATCGCTGCGCCACCGCTTTAAGGTGGAACGAAGTAGAGCCAAATGGGATATCCAAATTGTACTGTTGTGAAGTATTTATAGAAGTCTCGCGATGAGGTGCGGCAGCCTAATCGAATGTTATGGGTGGCACTGTTATAGCGCGCATGACTGATAAAGCACAGAGTTGTAAACTGAGGTCCCAGAACAAGCGCATGTAAAATTCAATATAACTTTATCCTCCCGAGACAGCATTTTGTGAAGTTTTGAGCTCGTGCAAGCTGATGTCCTAACGTAATAAAAATTAGAAATATATTGTTTCTTCTTCGCGCTATTTATGTGTAATTTGGAGCATAAATGCACGCATCTCTGTTAGAGAAATACGGATCATAACCAATCATGTCCTAAACAGTTAGACGCCCGACGTTTTAAACCCGATTCGGTATTTTTCATCAACTATTTGCACGTGGAGAGCAGCAGCTTCTTTTCCATCTACGGTTTGTCGTTTGCTTCACTCACTTTCTCTTCTTCAATTGCCCTGGTCAGTTGCCACACCCCGGTGTTTAAGTGCTTGTCGACTCATATAGCCGGACTTATTGAAATGACGTGTAAGCAGTGATGGAGTGCGGGAGAGGTAGTAATGAATCATCATCTTGTAGACCTTGAGAGGGGGGCGCTCCTAAATGTTTAGGACTTGGTTGGTGAATGTCTGTACTTCTCGAATTTCCGGTCCAACCAGACGGAGTTCCGTCAAACCTGTTTACGTTTAGAACATGCATTTCAATACATTTCGTTTTACAGTAAGACTTCGTGTATCGGATTATTTAGAAGAATACCATTCATTATCTCTGTTCCTGTACATTTTGAGTATTTACCTTCAGGTCTATAACGCGAGCACACATTCCTTTCTGGCATACCTAGCGACCCGGTGTTTCACACTGTCAAACAGCGAAAACAAAACAAACAAAAAAACACACATTTCCGCACACGATACAGATGGCGCATTTTCGAGTATCGTCCTCCCGTGTCGGTCTCAAGAGACACGGGAGGACAATAAGCGGCACGGGAGGATGTGAACTTCACACCGTCAAATTTATTAATGACAAGAAAAATATCTTATTGCCACCTGAAGGCTTGACAACATAAATAAAGGACCGATCAGCCTAAAGATATACATCATAAGTAAATGCACCCCCAAATTATCCGAAATATGCTCTGCAAATCTTTACCGGCGTTTTTATCCTCGATAGACACGTCTATAAGTGATCTGAAAGTTCCTGACGCATATTCAACTTCCCAGACATAAAGAAGTATGTTGCCTCTTTTATGTGATGGAAAACAATTTTTGGTGTCTGTGGGCTGGACGAAAACAAAGTACACAGTGGCGCGTGGCAAAAATACGACGATTGCGGACGCAGGCCGTCAGAGAGTGAGCAGTTAGGTAGCTGCGATGTCGAGTAGACTATGATATACCACTTTGCTCTGTTTAACAAAAAAAAAAATACAAGCGTGATGCCTATTTGCAAATTGAATTGACCGGGCATCTTGTCAAGAACAAAGCTGAAACGCCAAGCCATGTCGAAAATGTTTATTTCGAAACGCGCTATTTTAGATCAGATCCGATCTGAGTAAGAATGTCACTCTTTCCTGCAAGATTATTCGCCTG